TGCAGTCCTATGTGGAATAAATATAGTAATGCAAAATACAAAATCCAGGAAGATAACATGTCACTGTATAAAGTATAGGCCTACTTACTGTATATTGTAAAATGCAAGTGGAATACTGTAATATTGTATGAAGCATTACAGAACAGTGCCTATTGTTAGATTACATACCTGTTCTGTCGACGAACAATCTGAATGATTGAGGACACAGTTGTTCTCCCAACATTTGGCTGCACCCTTCGACCAGCCTCAGCCATTGTAAGCCCATGATTGACAACGTGGTCTACAAGTGTGGCTCTTATCTCATCAGGAACATGCGTATGTCCTCGGCCTCTTCTGCCTCTTCCTCTGTTTTGCCTCCCAACTCCTCTGACACGCAGCCTCACTCCTCTTCCTCTTCTTCTTCTCTCTGACTGTTGACACCGTCCAATTCCTTGTCCTTCCATTGTGTTGTGCTCCAGCTATATGTATACTTGCAGTTGATGGTTCATGAGATGCACCTTCGTTAGGGAAAGTCAAGATTCACCTGGGAGCAATTTACCAATTCAGGACAGATTTAGAAAAAAAGTCTAATGGAAATGTATAGAAATATGCTTGTCATATTATGACAGCTTGTTCAACCATTTTACATTTAACGACTTATACAATGAACTAATGACTAGATGTTTTGAGGGGTAAGACTATTGCACAGTGAACTATATAATACATTTTGATCAACATGACAAACAACTGATAATGTAGTAAACAGAGAATTGTACATAATCATTTGCATGGATGTACCAAAGCATTTGCAACTTCTTCAGACAAATGAGAAACTGCTTTTTTGATGTGCACAAGTGACACAATGATGTGAAGATTGAACAGGTAGTTCTGAGAATTTCAATTCTGATCTGAGAAATGTACCAACGTGACTGAGAAAAACTGTAATATCTAATGTTCAACAGTCAGGACCTTCTGCCTTTCAACACTTATACTCCAAGGTTACCTTTTTTAACCTTTATTTCCCCTAAAGGTGGGGATAGTGGTTCTACTGTACAGCTGTAGTGTTAAGTTTGCTATCACTTCCTCCATTGTAGAGGTTCGGAAAAAGTAAATTATGTTAAAACGGCATTACTGGGGCAATCGATTAGCCTCCGAGGGCTCAGAACAAACATGATTTCATTCATTTTTTACATCTC